ATATTAGAAGCCCTGAAAGAACTCTAAAAACAAATTATGAACTAACTCAAACGGATTCATCAACTGGTGCAGTGCCATCATCCTGAAACCATGGTTTTTATATGCCAACTTTTGCTATCAGGCGAAAAGTATTTTTTTGAGAGGCCTATAATACCGATTTGTGTCACACTGACACTCTTTTGAGCAGTACACAATACACAGGAAGCTCAGTCACCGACTGACAAAACAGATCAAGCTTAACTTGTGAGTTGTGTGACACTGACAAACTGTTTTTCAGAGGTAGACTACAGACAATCTGTACGTACTGAATTGTAATGCTTCTACTGGTTGAATGGTCTCTGAATTCGATAAGCACATTCAAAATAAAACGCCAATAAGACTGAATTGTTTTGAGTAGTATTTACTATTTAGAAACGCTATATACGAGCCAATTATATACAGACTAGGTACATTATATACAAACAACTCTGGTGCAAACAGCTATCATAAGCACTCCCAAGACTCGAGTCAAATCGATTCCGCCTCATCTTTAACCACTGCTACACATGATGAGCCATGCCACAAAGGCGGCGGCGGCAACAACTGCTATAATGTATCTCCTAAAAACAACATAGAATTCAAGTTACACCTAGTTAATTAGAGACTCCGACGCATTACATGCTGAATACTTTTAGATTACACAACACACTCAGTCCATGTACAGCTGTAGTTCCCATGTACATGGCACTGCAAGCCCATTGGGCCACGTATATATACTACCATTCCAAGCTGAGGCTTTTGCAGCCTGATAAAACTATTAAGTGGTTCAAATAATAGTGATGGAATATGCATGCCTATGCCCTATAGTACAATGGTTGGCATCTGATGCCCATAGCGACATTCAAACCATCAGCTTTCCCATAAAAGGGGAACAATCTACTATATATAAAGAAAATGAATCTGCATCATAGGATTCAGGCTGTGTTAGCAAACAATCTAGCCTCTGTATTTCATCAATGCTATGTGCACAACGCATATGATTGAGCATCTGTCTTCCCCCTGTAGTCACTGAAGACTTGCCTGAACCAGGCCATTCATCCTGGATGAACATTACCTGGACTTGAACATTATGACGTTAGATATCATATATATGTTGACAGGTCCAAGTAAATGCATCCTTCTCAAGTGAAATAATTTCTAGAAACGGATTGCACTTCTAACAATGTTCAGATGCTTAGTGCTGATTCAACATGAACTCATGATCTTTTGTAATCAAGTCAAGTTGTTAAATATATGAGATACATTTCCCAATATATCAAGACATACACATTTAATGTCACAGCTAAAAGATGTTATGTGACGAGAATTTACATGCTGTAAAATCAAGAAATGGTCAAACACAGTGAAACTATCACGCAATGCACCCAATCAACGACTGTACTAACAAAAGAAACTAAGAAAATAACACACACTAGTAGAATTGTAAACAGAACAATCCATGCTATAATATTACACTGACAGAAATACAACGCAGGGAGCAGCAACATCAAAATGCTCCCAGATTCTAGCAACAAAGGAGAGGATAACCTACACCAGGAATATCTTTAACGAGCAAGTCAATCATCCACAACATTGAGAATTATGGATTCATTGTTTTATAAAAGATAGATTGAACATAGACTTGAAAAACATACCATTTAATAGCTAAACCAGAAACACCTGAAGCATCTTCCAGTTTCCAGTGGTGCCTAAACAAATTGGAAACAGAATTCTTGCACAGGCAAAGAAATCTGTGCCAAACCATATGGGCCACAGACAACTATATATGGAACCTAACATCCAGATATTTTTTCTTTCAAAACTTAATAATACAGATTTCAGATATTTTAGCTGCACAATTAAGCAGTTACGACATTAAAGATGCTGAATCAAAGATATAGGGGTCTCAAAGGGGAGGGCATGTACCTTGAGCAAGGAGAGCACCAACACCTTTAAGCAAGTAAACACTAAACAGAGACTAGAAGAATGGGTTAGAAAATGCACCTGGGGCCAGCAAGCAAACACATACCACACACATGTACCAAACCAAAACATACCACACATGCAGAGGCCACCATTCTTGTCCTATCGTCAATGCTAAAAACCAGTATCCAGCAGCTTGTTAGTCTCAGCAAACACACCTTCCACTGGCAATGAATTTCATGTTTTTTTTTTTAATAAGGAATGAATTTCATGTTAAATTTGTCCTACATGACAGAAGCAGTAAAGCTAAAAAATACAGCCAAAGGAATTAAAAATGGTTAGTTTTACTCCACCTAAGTACCACAACTGTTTAGGAGCCAATGTACATTTGTCTTAGGGAGCTCAATTATCCTACTCTTGTACTAGAACAGTTCTCCAATCAAGTTAAATCTCCCAGGTCATCATTTGGGCATATATAGTATCCACAGGTTTCAACTCAACATATTCCACCATATGGTTTTTCCATATTTGACACTGCAAAAATTGAAACACACATTGGCTCCTCAATTCCCAGTATCATACATCGCACTCAGCTTACCATGATACATACATCCCTTTAAATATTCATCGAGCTCTTCTTTCAAATCCATCGGAAACAAATTTTCTTAACCAAACAGTATTGTGAAAACCGATTGTTTTAGCAGCCTGCAATCAGAATAAAGCCATCTTGATCAACCACAGGAGCACCCTACACCGTCATTCTCCTAGGCAACCAAAAAGAAAAATCCTTGGCAACCACCATTCACAAAATAAGGAAATGCTTCCATAACCAAAATCATCGACACCTTAAATCCCAAAAATGAAGAAACATCTGTATTACGAGGCACGTGGTCACAAAATGTGAATCCCTGGCACATAAGATTGAGTACCATCCAACAAAACCAGACAATGATGTGAATCTATAATCAATTTCCTACTCTGTTCAGCCAATACAGCATGCCCTAATTCCTTCTAAAAGAGCAAGAAGAAACACTCAGCAGATTAGCTAACAATTTCTCCAACTGGTCACAAGCCATCATTAACCAGGTGCCCTGCAATGCCTCAGCAAAAGCAGTACAGGTATAGACTGAGTGCACTGAATGGATCATCAGCAAATCATGCTTGCCAATGCCATTTGATTGCTCATGTTATGACTTGATATGATGCATGTCTCAAGCTTCTATCTTCTTCTCCCATAGAAAAGAAGGAAAACCTCGCACTTGAGAACTTCGTCTAGAGACACTTCTGCGATGCTCAATGACACCAACTAGACGATATCTAGCATTATCTTTGTCCCCAGACCTGAAGGTTTGCGAAATAATAATTCAAAAGGTCAAACAAACGAAATGTTAGATTAGCTATCAACATCACTAACAAGAAAATACTACCAGATTAACAGTTTTGACATATATCAAGTGACTAGCTGATTCCAAAACATAAAACAAAATTAGTGTCACAGTACAATTGTATTAATAGTCAGTTCATTCCATTTTTTATCCACACAAAAAGGGAAAATAAAATCCTTAGCTGTTTCATTTTGCAGAAAGGGATCACATAGCCATTGGCATATGTCGCAAATCGCCTATATGTGAGACCCAAGACTAGGCAGTCATCACAATTCAATTAGACTTCCCAATCAGCATGCAATGGAAGTACTAGATGCTAGTTGCCTATTGTCCCATTTTCATAGTACAGTCAGATATACTAAAAAGCATAACTAAACTATTATAGAAATCTTTGTTCTGTACCATTTTTTTACAAAATTTTCAGACCTTTTTCAACACTGCTGCTATTTTTGTGCATATACTACAGAGGTCACACTTGGGTCGCCAGGAGTGACAAACCCAGTAGAAACAACATAGGCAACAAAAGAAACCCAAGTAGCACAAGACAAAGTGATAAATTATTAAGAACTCAAACAAATTTATTTCTAGCACTACTCCAGGTCAGACAAATGGCAACTAGAAATTCTTTTATAGAGACATAAAAGCACCTTCTGAATGAACAAAATTGAAACATGCAGTCTAAACAACTATTTTGAACTATACACCATATCTTCTTCAATCTTTCCTAAAGATACTGAACAAACTATAAAATAAAAAGTAGCTACTGCAAATGAGAAACTTCAAACTGCTTAAAAGTAATAACTATTGCAGTTAAAAACTTCGAACTTGGGTCTTCTCCCACTTGGTTTGCAGTATTTTCCAGCTCTACTTATTGTGTTCTATCCTGATTTAGTGCGATGGCATTTTTGTTATCATGAGACTCGACAGGTTGCTCTTTTCCTCCACTTTTCCGTGATGGTCACGTTCAGCTCAGGCCATCAAGTGATGAGCTTTCACTGATGTTTGCCACCATCTGTCCTCTGTCTTTGCTTCGACTGGTGGGGCAAGAGAAAGCAAAATCTTTTCAGCACGCTGGTCCTTCCCATTGATCCCTTCTTCACAAAGCCTGTTTATCACAAATGAAATGAACACAAAATACAGAAAGTAAGAAACAAGGAAAAAACATACTAGAACTAATAAATTTCCATCCACTGAAGTGCTCCCACAATGCAACTACTGAAGTATGAACACATTGCGGATTCATTGTTCTATAAAAGATAGATTGAGCATAGACTTGAAAAACATACCATTTAATAACTAAACCAGAAGCACCTGAAGCATCTTCCAATTTCTAGTGGTGCCTAAACAAATTGAAAACAGATTATCTAGCACAAGCAAAGAAATCTGCACCAAATCATATGGGCCACAGACAACTATACAATATATGGAACCTAAAATCCAGATATTTTCTGTTTCAAAATATTTCAGATTTCAGATACTTGTAGCTGCATAATTAAGCAGTAGGTCATTAAAAGTGCTGAATCAAAGATGGGGCCGGGAAGGGGAGGGTATGTACCTTGAGCAAGGAGAGCAGCAACACCTGTAAGTAAGCAACTAAAACAGAGACTTGAAGAACGTGTTAGAAAACGCACCTGGCGCCAGCAATCAAACACAAACCAAACGCACCGACCAAACCTAGCACATGTCGATCTCCGGAGGTGGAGGCGGGAACTGCACCGCTGCTGCTGCCGCTGCCGGCAGCTGCTGTGGCGGATCGAACTTCAAGGCGTACAACCCATACAAGTAGTAACCGATGTCCACGCACGTCATGAGCACGATCGCGGCCAAGCCGAGGTACACCCAGACGCGGAAGATCGGTATCCAGAAGCGGGCCTCCTCTGGGTCTGTCGTGAAGGAGACGACCCTGACGACACAGATCAAAAAGTGGAGCCCGACGAGAGCCATGCCCCAGGCGCGGCCCATGCCGCCGAACACGCAGTTCACGGCGTACGGAAATAGCAGCTTCATCTTCAACGGCTGCGAGGGACGCTTCTCATCCGAAGCCGCCGCGGGTGGGGCCGGAGGTGGGCTCGGCATCGCAACAGGGGCCGAAGGGGCAACGACTCGAGAGGAGCGGGGATCGAGCGAGGAGGGAGGAGCACCTGCGGACATCGGGCGAGGGGGGACGAGCACCTGCGGCCTCGCCGGAATCGATTGAGGGAGCCGCCGGGTCAAGATCGCGAAGCGCGCTCGGAGCTGTGGTCGGGAGATCGAGATCAGGATTGCGGGAATCGAAAACTCTGGGGATCGATTGCTCTTGGGGGGCGACGCCGACCCTCTAGGGTTTTATTGCCCGAGAAGATGAATCGCAGAGTCGGTTTTGTGGAATTCTGGTGTCGCGTATACCTATGGATGAAAACGGTTCGGATATTTATTCGACCATCCGTTCGACCGAATAAATATGAACACTTATCTAAATAGTTACTTAGATATCCATTTTTTTTTATATGGATACTAAAACGGATATCTTAGGCGGATATCAAATACGGATGTAATATCATCGATATCCGGCGGATATCGGATAATCCGGATAAGTATCGGATATATCCGGATATTTAAAAACGGATATTATCTGGATATTTATTCAAAATTTAAAAATCACAAATTTGAACCATCTAAACTATCTTAAATGGAAAGTTGACCAAAACAACAATTGTAGATCTTGATGAGTTGAACAAACTTGGTATTCAAAACTTTTCAATTTGAAGTCATTTAGAGTTCATAATACTAGAGTCAAAGTGTTGTTTTTTCATTTGACCAAATTTGACTTGGTCAAACTTGCTCAAATGAGACACTAAATGACCTCAGATGAAAAAACTCTGAATACCAAGTTTGATCATCTCAGCAAGATCTACAATTGTTACATAGCTCATTTTTCCATTTGAGAAAGTTTTATCAAACACTAGTCATAAATTCTTGAATCTCATATAGACTTTCTGAAACTATGTCACACACTTGTGAAATTTGAACTATATTTTATTCAAACTTTCTCAAATGAAAAAATGGCCTATATAAGGATTGTGTATCTTGATGAGATGAACAAATTTGGTATTCAAAACTTTTCAATTTGAGACAATCTAGGGTTCCGAAAACTAGTTTGTAAACGCTTAAATTTAAAAATCACAAATTTGAACCGTCCAAACTATCTCAAATGGAAAGTTGACTAAAACAAAAATTGTAGATCTTGATGAGTTGAACAAACTTGGTATTCAAAACTTTTCAATTTGAAGTCATTTAGAGTTCATAATACTAGAGTCAAAGTGTTGTTTTTTCATTTGACCAAATTTGACTTGGTCAAACTTGCTCAAATGAGACACTAAATGACCTCAGATGAAAAAACTCTGAATACCAAGTTTGATCATCTCAGCAAGATATACAATTGTTACATAGCTCATTTTCCCATTTGAGAAAGTTTTATCAAACACTAGTCACAAATTCTTAAATCTCATACAGACTTTCTAAAACTATGTCACACACTTGTGAAATTTGAACTACATTTTGTTCAAACTTTCTCAAATGAAAAAATGGCATATATAAGGATTGTAGATCTTGAATCTATGACCATGACTCCATGAGACCCATGAAGCCATGAGCTTGGCTATTTCTACTCATGTCGCGAAGATTGGTGCTTGTATGATGTTTGATATATGATGTATCTGTATCTTTATCTTATTTGTTGCTTTACTCTTTAGTCTTTCGGCTTAATCTAGATGGATTATGGACTCATAGAGTGGTGTAATGGTTTGCGCACGTATGATATATATATATATATGTGCTGCTTTTACTCAATATCCGAATAGATATTTGTATCCGACCTTCTCTGAATCCGATTCATACCGTATTCGATACTCATTATTCATATCCGTAACCGAGTCAATCCGTATTCGTATATGTATCCGAACGCTATCCGTGTCCGAATCCAAATCCGAACAGAAATAGCGCGTGAGGGACAGATCCGTTTTCAATACGGTATAGCGGAAATACCGAATCCAAATCCGAACAGAAATACCGGAATCCAAATCCGTTTTCACGACACCAGAATCCCAGAAAATAGCGCGGACAGGGATGTCCCCTGAGACGGCATGAGCATCTCTGGATGATGGCGGACCGGGATCGCGGCCTCCTCTGACGAGGGCGAGCTCCGGCGCAGCGCGGCCTCAGCTCCGGCATGGCACGGCCCAAGCTCGTAGAGCTCCAGCACATGGGTGAAAGGTCTAGTTTGGTTTTGGTGAATTGATAAAACCCTAAGTGCTAACCTAGTTTATCAAAGTGATCATGAGATATGTAGCACTATTCTAAGTGGTGGAGCAATGGTGAAGATCATGATGATGGTGTGACCATGGTGATGATCAAGTGCTTGGACTTGGAAAAGAAGAAAGAGAAAAACAAAAAGCTCAAGGCAAAGGTGAAACTTGATAGAAGCTTTTTGGTTTGGTGATCGAGATACTTAGCGAGTGTGATCACATTTAGGATCGATAGCCGTACCATTAAGAGGGGTGAAACTCGTATCGAAATGCGGTTATCAAAGTGCCACTAGATGCTCTAACTCATTGCATATGCATTTAAATGTAGTGGAGTGCCAACACCCTTAAAAATGTTTGTAAAAATGTGCTAACACACATGCACATGGTGAAACACTTGGTGGTCGGCACATTTAAGCAAGGGTGGAGAAGTTAGTGAAGTCGAGGAAGTCACTGAGCTAACCGGACGTAGGACCAGACGCTGGACTTGCGCGTCCTGTCAGTAGTGGAGCAGTGGCTTGGCTTCGGTTAAGTGACCAAACTCTGGTGCGTAATGATCAGACGCGTGTTGACGGTCGTTAACATCAATCATAAACAGTCAACATAACCTGCATATATATTTAATTGCATCACCAAACATAGGAATAGGGGTTTAAACTAATGAATTCCACAAGCTTTGGTGAATATATGACTGCAGGAGGATTTATCCAGAAGACAGCTCCTGGGACCACTGTCATACACTCCAAACAAGCAACCCGATGACAACAAGTGATTTAACCCGCGAAAACTGCGAAAGACAACTCTAGAAGGTTCCAGAGGACACCACGCCGAAGCTTGGGCCAAATGGCCACAATAGTGGGCCGGCTAGCCCACTAGGGAGGCCGCCCGGCCTGCTCTAGAACCCGCTCACCCTCCGCCACCTCGTATGCATTTCCAAGATCTACACCGTTGATTTTAAGGCGGTTATAGGTCAGTTCATCCAACGGTGATCGAGGGAGTTGACTTGGATTGATGATGTGGCAATTCCTTGCCCCCTACTCCACCTTGATTCCTTGCCCCCTACTCCACCTTAGGCCTATATATAGCAGCCCTACCCCCCTCCCTAGAGCTATCCTAAAAACCCTAATTTATATCCTCCTCGTCAGGATCAGTGCCAGCTCTCAAGATGTAGAAGTAGAATAGCTCTAGTTGAGAATTAGGGAGAATTGAGCCATGCTCGGGTTCTGGAGAAATCTTCGAAGGTCGGGTATATTTTTGTATCTTACCTTTGCAAGACTTATGCTTTAATATAGTTATCTTCTCTTCACTTTTATACCTTTCATGTGTATGGTTAGTATAGTTATCATATCTTAGCATAGGATCTTCGCTCGCATCTAGTGCTCTAGTTATTATATGTGATTAGAGTAGTAATTAATAGTGTAGACGCGGTGTCTAGACTATGAGTTACCTGAGATTGCACCCAACCCCGCGGATAGTTGTGGTAGCCCTAGGTGGCGACAGCCCTAATGGCCGATGCAGTCCACCACGTTTGGGTTGGTGTTTGTAGGACCATAGTCAGAGCTTCCTAGTCCCTTTCTCATCCCTTTCTGTGGCTAGTGTTCTGATGTCCCAAAGTGCTATTGTGTGTGATTGCTATATCTACCCATGCTTTAGTTATACCCTCTAGTCTAAACTAGAATAGAACCGAAGTAATAGAGAAGTATTTAGGAACCTTGAACTAAACTGTTGTCCTCTCAATTTAGCTAGACTACTCATTTATATACCATGAAATTCTCTTATGTGTGTTATTATTCATAACTCTTATCATAAACAACACTTAACCCCACTTTAGTTTAGTTAGTATACTAGTTAGTAGATACATGATAGTCAACTATCAACTTCTTTAACCATTGTTTCCCTGTGGATAACTACGATACTCTGGAATACTCCTGGGTGAAAGCTACAACGGTATCCGTGCGCTTACAGATTTATCTGTGTGTGTTTAAAAATACCAACAATGCGCAGGACTTGGGTCCGTTGTTGGCGCGCTGCGACTGTGAGGGTCAGACTCGGCCCTGAATCCGGTCATGCACCATCGGACGTGTTAGGTTGTGGAAAGAAGGCTCGGGTAGCTCTCTGTAAGTGACCGGACGCCACGTTGATGGCGCATCTGGTCATCCCCTGGTTTGTCAGGTCACAGTGTTGGGCGCGCGAGCATGCAGGCAAGCGGACGTGGCATCGGGTGCGTCAAGTCATTGATTGGCGCATCCGATCACAACTTAACCACGCACGGGAGGGCTCTCGACCGTTGGAGATCAGGAGGTCAAGATTTAAAGGCAGGACACGTGGCTGACATCCGTTGACCGGACGCTGAAGACCGAGCGTCATGTCTTTTCAACCTACACGTCCAGTCGCCCCGAGTTGGGCTACTCTGTGAGCCCAATGGCTCTATTTCAATGAAGCCGTTATATAAGGTGTTTGGCCGGCTCAAGCTCACTCTCTTGGCCATTTACATTGACATAGCAATAGCTTAGCCAAAGCCCTCCCACTCATCTCCATCATTGATTCATCATCTTTGTGAGATTGGGAGTGAATCCAAGTGCATTGCTTTAGTGATTGCATCTAGAGACACTTGGTGTTCGTGTTTCGCTGCGGGATTCACTTGTTACTCTTGGTGGTTGATGCCACCTAGACGGCTTGGTGTAGCGACGATCGTCGAGCGGAGAAAGGTGCTTGTCTCCGGCTCCGATCATGGTGATTGTGAGGGGTTCTTGATCTTTCCCCGTCGGAGAGCCAAAAGGTACTCTAGTTCATTGC